CTGCAGATTAGGCGATGCAGAAGGTCTAGATTCAACCTGATGCGCTTTAGCCATAATGGATCCAGTCCAAGTGACAAACAGCGAAGCCGATGCGGTAGTGGATGGTATCGGAAACAGGGAATTAGTAAACGAGCCCTGCACATTCTCCACTGTAGTTTGGTATGCCTGCGAATACTGTGAGGCGAATTCAGGGCTGGGTTAAAGATTGGGTCTTACAAATTGTTTAAAGATGACCATTAAGCATAATTTATTATGGAAGGATCGGCGAATGTAAGCGCAGAGCTTGTGAGCTTTAGCCACTCTGTACCCTGCATGTTGGTTGAAGCTAAATGCACAGGAATACCTAAGGCCTAGGTCTCTGGCTTCGGGAAAAATAGGATTTGAGAGCATACTAAGCGTAAGCGACCCAGGAACAATTTGGAATCGATGTGACAGGGCTTGCTATTTTGGAACAGCGGGAGAAAGGAGTTGGAGTGATAAAGAATTCACGTCAGACTGAAGGTTGGCAAGAGTAGAAACAGAATCGCTGGCCTTAAACGTGTAAGCTATCTTAAATTCATCAGCGAACAGAAAAGGAACTTCATGGGCGATTGAATCGGTGATGTTTTTACCATATAGTAAGCACGGTAGAGAGCCGAGTACACTACCCTAAACAACTCCACTGGCAAAGGGAAGGGTCAGGGAGGAGAGATCCCCGACGAGACGATGAATACTTTACCTAGTTTCTGAATAAAAAGATTCCTTTCAGGCCTTTCCAAGAGCTAATCATTTGATGATGCTAATTACTGGGAGTGGAAATCGGGCTTGTGCGCCTACAGGATCCGGTAGGCTGTATTGAGGGAGGGTGGGGTTCGACCGTGCCGAAAAGTCTACTGGATAGCAGCCGGACAAACTGCAGCAAAACTTGACCGTTTTTGAGGTATTGTTTTGTGTGTTTACTCACTTGAACGCAGTACCAATCTAACTTAATAAGGATGCAGAAATGCCGGCTACGTAGCTGCAGGTATGTAGCTGCTTCAGGTGGAAATCCAGTTGCTAAGGTCTTTTATGTCTTGTAGTTTAATTTGCTGCTCTGACAACGAAGCCAATTTGACACCAAGAACTCGCTTAGCCACTAAACAGTCGCCTCACCGATATTAAGGGGCATACATTATGAAACTCTCAAAGCCCTGAAATCCTGAGAGTATGTCTACATAGCCGTAGGGTGAGGAAGCCTTTACGACTTCTCCGTATGCAAATGTCTACAGTCCTATCCTCGCTTGTGTCAAGTAATGCGTATGACCACCGCATCGGAGTAAACATCGATCCCTCATTGTCGAAAATGGGACTAATAGAGCAATCAGTAAGTGTCTTGGTAACAGCGAGACGTTTCAAAGCATCAGTCTAAGAAACAGAACTAAATTGTCTGCATTTTTGAAAAAGTTTGGTGAAAGGCAGTAGATTTATTACTGCGCAACGTGTCGCTTTTGACGCAAAAGCTTCGTCATGACAGAGAACTAAGTTCCGCCTTAAACCCCGACCAACCTCGGAGTCTGGTCATTTGTCCTGACGAAGCTTTTGTGATAAAAAGCCAAACGTTACTCTGCAAATCCACCGATTGTCACCGAACTTTTTGAAAACGGTGGCTGCTCAGTCGTTTCCAAGTACCTTTCACCTAAATTGTATGCAAATTTTTCCTCTTCAGAAACATTTTCCGGTAGGAGTTGTCCTCGGAAAACCAGAAAATGAGTGATTATGCAGTACGTTTGCACCAGTGCATTGCAGGAATAAATGACGGTACTTCATGAACGGTTGTGTTTGCGATTTTCTGATTTGGGTGTGTCAGAATGACACGGACGGTCGTCGGCCGTTAACGCAGGCTACCACACATAGATAGGCCTTATAATGAGCACCGCGCGTGGGTTCGGGCCTAGTGGTTACCATAGGGAATGTGAGCGTACGACTGCGCGTAAGGTTATGGTGATGGAAGTCCGCCGTCGGCCGTATTTTCAAGTAGCTTTGTTACGCTTTCTAATGCGCTGTCCCTGATCTGAGTGCAATGTCGGAAAAACAGTCGTCTTCTCTAGACGTAACTCGGGTCATTGTGGAAGTCTTTAGGCTAACCACTGAGTAGGTCCCATACCTTTCAAATCGTCGAATATGGGATATACTTCATCGTCTAAGCTTGTTACAACCAAGGATGATGTTCGTCGGCCCCAAGGTGATAGTCGTAGATGACTGTCGCAACTTTTGGACATAAACTAGAAAGACAGCCACAAAATACTTTACGTCAACACAATTCCCGAACCAAACAAATAAACTTACATGAAGTTTTTTGATCCGTGGTTACCTGAAACTGTGTCCCTAAAAGAATATGTTCTATTTCTCATGTCCTAAAAGAAGCACAGTGGACTTCACAAGGCGGTGTTGAAAACCTAGAGTAGGGTATTTTTACTTTCGCATACTGCACAGATTCTTGCTCTTGGATGCTTCAAAGAAGACAATACGCCGTCTGTAAACTCATAGTGCAGTACTGCAAACGCCCCCTGGTTCTGGGTTATTTTGGCCTACTGATTCTGCGAGTCACTTAAAATTGGCTTCAGCAGGCCTTCATAACTTCCTATTCCGGAGTTACTGAGCTGTCAGATAGTGCATCTACCTAATGAGTTTATCACTGTTATTCAGCAAAACTTACACATCGCGGAAGATTAACATTACCGCTTCTATGGAAGCGAACAACCAGGAGGCTGAGGCTTAGTAGCTAGCAGAAAACAGCCGAACAAAACAAACATCGATTGCTAAGTGAAGTCCATAGCAAATTGGCGCAAATTTGAAGCAGTTCTGGAGATGGTGTTGTCTGGACGAATAAATAGCCGCTGCTCGCCTGCTGTATTTAGATATAATATAGTAGTGGGTAGGCAGCGCGAGCCACTTGCTGAACAATTTTTATGGATTTACCATTCTTAGACCCGCCATGAAACGGTACAGTGAGATTTTGGGAGGTTCGCAGGCGACGGAATTGAGCGGTCATTTTGATGAGCACCGCAACTTTATATTCACATCAGTGCCAGCAATAAACAAGAGAGATCGAGAGATGATTGTAGTAGTGAGTAGAGAATAATGTCAGCAAACTCATTGATGTGCTTTTTATTCAGGATGAATACAACGAGGGAGGCATCCCGATCAATGTTACCACATGACGGCCGATGTGATACTTAAGTATGTTTGACTGTGAAAAAATCATTTGCGCCAATTTACTGACGGGAGAGTCGTCAGGGTTCTCATTCAAGGCTAGCCTCAAGATGGCGGGTGTTGGCGTAAAGCTGGAGGATTATTTCAAATTTTGAATAACAAGGGGTCACAGCAGTTTCGATTATGGACTTCAGGGCCACTAACGTTTAATGGTCAACGGGCTTGGGTCATCACAATTCTCAGGGCCACCAAGCTATGCGCAGCTCACGCTCTCTTGGAGCGAAGTGGTAGAACCAAATGCGTGAGGCCTGTGGACAATTTATTAGCAAATAACTCTACGAAAAATGGTTTATCTAACATTATAAGAGAGGCAGAGCTACCAGAAAACAACTGCGTGACTGATGAAGGCAGATAGTATGCGGTGTGGCAGCATGGCCTTCTGAAAGCGAAGTTGAATACGTACTGAGCATTCGGATACGGATATCCAAACGGTTTGATCAGCCAACTTGCATGGACACTAGTGTAGTCGGTACTTTTGGAAGTCGTTTTGAGATGGGAAAATCAATGGAAACGATCTGGAATAAGAAGCATCATATGGGTCTCACGTAATAAAAACGAAATATTTCTCAGGCGTTCTCCTAAACTTTCTTGGCTATTCTTTGACTGTTACACAATATTAACCGAATACTATAAAGCCGTTCCACAAGTTTGTGACATTGTTGTACATAAGCAGTGAGCAGAAGTCCCGATACCACTCCAGCGACGGTCTCCATTGGAGTTCCTCAAGGCTCCGTCTTGGGACCACTCCTGTTTCTGATCTACGTCAACGACCTCCCAGACGTTCTTGCGAGTCCATGTTTACTTTTTGCGGACGACTTGAAATCCTGGAGTTCCAATGCCAGCGCCCTCCAAATGGATGTAGACGCTGCCAAGCAGTGGTCGTT